GGCGTTGGTGGGTTTGTTTCGTTTTCTCAGTCTTGCTGATGGGGTTCGCTTGGAATCTGCTGCAGCAGCACTCGGCCTGTGGCTCTCGGGCTCTCTGGGTCTGACTCCCACTACTCAGCACCTGTTGTGCATCGGTCAGTGGTGGTGAGGAATTGTATCACATTGTATCACGTTTTATTTTCTATTTATTTATTTATTTAGTAGTAGTAGTATTTGTATATATGAATTTATTTAGATTTAATTAGTAAATAGTTCTTACCTCAATTTTACGAGCTTTTTTATTTTTCCTCCAACTCATCCCCTCCACTGGAGGAGGGGAGGGGGATTTATGAGAGCGCCTTTGTGATATTTTGCTAGCCAGAGTTAAACCACAACAGCCTGTTTTTGAAAGCAACCCTGACAGTCAGGCTTCAGATGTTTTTCAGGGAAAAACTACACGTCTAAAAAAGGAGTCAAGAGCCAGTTCCTAACTTCCCACTTACACCGCTTCAGTGGTAGCTACGCCTCCCAGGCGTGTCTTAGGTCACTATTACTACCTTCCCTGCCTTTTATTATCCACGAAGGGCCATTAGGGCCACGAAGATGCTCAGGGGGCTGGACCGCCTCTCCTATGACGAAAGGCTGCAAGAATTGGGCTTGTTCAGCCTGGAGAAGAGGAGGCTCCGAGGAGACCTCATTGCAGCTTTCCAGTATCTGAAGGGGGCCTACAAGGGTGCTGGGAGAGGACTTTTTACAAGAGCCTGTAGTGATAGGACAAGGGGTAATGGGTACAAATTGAAAGTGGGGAGGTTTAGATTAGGTATCAGGAAGAAATTCTTCACAGAGAGGGTGGTGAGGCACTGGGACAGGTTGCCCAGAGAAGCTGTGGATGCCCAATCCCTGGAAGTGTTCAAGGCCAGGCTGGATGAGGCTTGGAGCAACCTGGTCTAGTGGAAGGTGTCCCTGCCCATGGCAGGGGGTTGGAACTAGATGGTTTTTAAGGTCCCTTCCAACCCAAACCATTCTGTGATTCTACGGTTCTATCCCCCATATACACTGCGCCACATTCACTTCCCAGCTTCTGACCCCTGTACTTCGCTGTGGGTCACTACAGCCCTACACAGCCCCAGGAGCCGCTGGCACTCTCACCTTCCCACAGCCCCCGATCATCCCCGGGTGGGTTTCCATCCGTGTCAGCCCCCGCTGCTGCGCAGTGTTCCAGCTGGAGAGGGCCTGCCAGCCCTAAGTCACGCCAGTCGCCGTTCAAGGACCCACAAAGTTTTAAAACCCTTCTGCCCCGCATGACGAAGTGCACCGCACGCCGAAGCCGGA